TGTTCTTTATTGAAATCATCTTATTTATACTCTAACATCTTATGTACTACTTATTTACTACAATACATATTTACTTAAAATTCTTACTAGCTGAATCTCTCGCTTGCACATATGAGCATGCATTCATATGTGCCTAGCTCAAAGCATAGCTCAGTGAAGTCACCAACACACACACAACCATTTCTAATGTGGAGCTACAAGCAATGCATCCACAGACATATCTACATGTACCAAGCGTGAAGGTGCTAGCAGCGCAGTCGTACATATTTACATACATAGAGCTAGCGCATGCACCAGATATAGCTTGTGCCGCTTGTGTGTTTAGCGTGTGAAAATAACAAAGTAAGGAATTTGTTTATGCTGCAAAAATGCATAACACAGGCGTGTGGCTTTGTTGTTGTTAGTGACTTATTCTGATATACTACACTTATTCCTGAGAAAGTTATCCCTTATGTGAAAGTCAATAAGTTAAGTTAAGTTAAGTTAAGTTAAGTTAATAATGTCTTTACTAGAAAGGAACTGTACTAGCACACTGGTGTATAAATTGGTGTAAATTTATGGATTTTGGTACAAATCTGATTAGATTGAATAAAAAAAGAACGTTTGGGTGTATTTGTTATTCCACCAGTATATCTTTCAAATCAAAATTCTACCTTTAACATTTTGGTACTATTTATTCATTGAGATTAGTACGAAAACTACACCAGCTCCTAAAATGCGCCACTTTTTTCATTTGGTTCACAAATAGCTCCACGTTAACAAATGTCGTTAAAATTANTAATGTCTTTACTAGAAAGGAACAGTACTAGCACACTGGTGTATAAATTGGTGTAAATTTATGGATTTTGGTACNGTTAATAATGTCTTTACTAGAAAGGAACTGTACTAGCACACTGGTGTATAAATTGGTGTAAATTTATGGATTTTGGTACAAATCTGATTAGATTGAATAAAAAAAGAACGTTTGGGTGTATTTGTTATTCCACCAGTATATCTTTCAAATCAAAATTCTACCTTTAACATTTTGGTACTATTTATTCATTGAGATTAGTACGAAAACTACACCAGCTCCTAAAATGCGCCACTTTTTTCATTTGGTTCACAAATAGCTCCACGTTAACAAATGTCATTAAAATTATTCAGGCGACATTCTGAGTAGTGATGTGCTGAATTCTCGGTACCCAATACTTGAAAAAAATTTCGGTACCCAATACTTCCTTTTCGGTACCCGATACCGATTCGACACACTAAACTTTCGTCATTATATCTGTGCCGTTCAATTAAAGTAGCTTAAGTCACTTTAGATGGTTTGACTTTGAATTAAAAAAAAAAAATCAGTTTCCTTTGAAATTGTTTTATATTTTAATTAAGATTCTATTATAGGGGCATCTTGAACTACATCTTTGGCTAGTTAAACGTTAAAATATTGTTTGGGAATCCAATGAAATGTGGCTTTAAAGGGAAAAGGACCTATCTCGACATAGGCTACTTTTGGGGGTAAAAATTATTGATATTTTATAAGACATCGCCAAAAACCCAAAAGGTACAAATAAGACGGTCCTTTCTCAAGAGATGAGCAATGTGTTTGTATGTATGTAGTTAAGTGAAGCAAGTATAATGTGTGCGTCGAACAAGGCAGGCAATTAAATCTGCACAATAATAATCAAGGCGAATTTAATAAGGTGATGTTAGCCGTATATAAGTAAAAAATTACACTTACAAATTATACACTTACACTTACAAATTATATAACTCATATTTGTCAATGTTATTGTGGCTTGTTAACATTTTATTTTTAATATTTTTATTGAGCTTTGTACCACGATTGTTTATTAGGAAACATTGAAAAAGCAACAAAGTCTAAGCGGTAGAAGTTATAGCACTATTTCGGAGATCACCACATCTCCTCATCAGACTTCTTTTTCTAGACTTCAGCAGGGATCGAACCTGCGAATTCGATGTTCAAAGTCAGAAGCGTTAACCACTGAGCTATGTACATCCCGTAAACTCTTGTTGCTAATTCATTTTCCTTATTCAACCAACTACTATCAAGTGCAGCTGATTTGCCGCTATTTAAACTCGACAGCGTGGTTGTTGTTGTCAATTCTATACATCCATTTGCTTATTTGCTTTTTTGTATAGTTTCAGGCAGGCTCTTCCTAAACTATGTATTTGTCAATGTTATTGTGGCTTGTT